GCGGGCTTGCGATGATTGTAAGTAAGATCTGCCTGTCCAAGATGGGCAGATCGTACGTTTTTTAAAGTACTTTACAACCCTCGCAAGACAAAAGTCTTGCGAGGGTTGTAAAGTGTATGGGCACCTTAACAGTTGTGCTGTGCTACTCGTGTGCTAACAAAGAACATGCTGATATGAGAAGAGAGCAAAGAGAGGGACTTATCAGCCTCGGATAAGTCCCTCTCTTTGCACGGATAAGTCCCTCTCAACACGGATTCATGGCCACTAGGCCACCCAGGTCTTTAGGCTATTGTAATCATTCTAGTTTGAGCCTTAGATTTTTCTTATTCCAAATAAGATCTATAAAGACAGCATTTAATTGCCTAAAGATTTTAAAGGCGAGGAATTGTGCAGAAAATAGATTAACTGAGGCATCCAAACCTTGACGAATTTCCCAACGAATCGCTATCACTCAGTTCTGCAAGTGATTTTAATTTACTATTGCTGTTTTCTACCTGGTCTAAAACTACTTTTTACCTAAAGGAACGCTTTTTGATGCCATGGATGTTCTCAAGTTTCATGGCGGAAAGAACAGTAAAAGTGCAGGCAGGGCACTGGTCAAAGCTCTAGGGACAAAATTGAAGTGAAATGGTTTGATACATAAATGTAATTATAGCAGATTACATTGTATTCTGTGTAAATGTCATGTGTGCACTTTTGAATTTCCCGCCGCCTCCACCCCCCGCTGTGACGACCGAAAACGAAACTGAAAGCCGAAAAGCTTACACTAGAGTTGACATTGAGAATGGATTCTGGTGAGTAGGGCTGAACATTTGTTTGGATGTAGCCATAAATTTAAGCTGAGATGGAGAACTCCAGGTATTTGATCAAGGGTACTAACTTAAGATGTGAGAGGGATGGGGCCAGGAAATCCAGTAAAAGGTCCAGCGGAAGCAACATAGATTTCTTCCAATTAATACGCAGACCGAAAGTCACACCAAATTCAGTAATGAGTGTCCTAGCAGCAGATAGAGACATTGAGGGGAATTTTTCAAAACTGGAGCAGACAAAATCTGGAGTAGCTGTGCATGGCAACCATCAGCTTCTCTCTTTCATTTTCAAATCCTAACTGAACAAACTGAAGAGAGAAGCTGATTGGTTGCCGGGGCAACTGCTCCAGATTTTGTCTGCTCCAGTTTTGATAAATTCCCCTCAAAGTGTTATAGAGAGGGTCTATTTTCAAACAATTGCCATCAGCAACTACATTATTCTACATGTTCCTATCCAATGAATGGGCACGCTTTGACAGTCATTATAATGACAGTGATAATGCATCTGTGATGGTTGTTGATTAGAATCTATGTTTTAGGCTTCTAGTTATAAAATGCAGCCTACTAGCAGTTTTATTAGTGTACATTCATGAGGCCAAATTCTAGAGCTACTAACTTGGCAATCAGCACGTGAGGCATTTTTGAATTATTTATTTGATGGGAATAAAGTAATCATTTTGTGGCTATTTTCCTTGAACTTCTTTGAATGTTCATGTTTTAATATTTCAGCTGCATATCTTTGCAATTCCTTTTTTCTTGAGCAACATAAAAGCATAAGTAGTTATTTTGGAGTGACCAATGTCATTTGCCAGATACCTGCTCTTTATTAATTCCTCCTCTGTAATAAGCTGTTTCCCTTTTTCTTTTGTGGGCTTTGCATACACTGGCAGATATTCTAATAAATATAAGAAATCTGATTTGTTTTTTGGCCACTGTAGACAATGTGGCAGCTGCACTTACTTTCTTCTACTTTCCCTGATTTTTTTTCATGATGTTACCTCAGACCTACAAGATCTGCACATTCTGGAATTAGATAAAGGCGGGGATCTTAACCTTGGGAGAACTCTCCTGTCTTTGCTCGGTACCAGTCTTAATTTGCATGTGTCCAATCTTGTGTTTCCTTCTCTTTTATAACAGTCAGTTTTCTCCAGACCAAACCTTACCTCTTGTACTGAATTGCCCAATGGAAATTGGGTAATATCACACTATGTTTTTTATTGCAGACTTCCTCAGACTCTGTATAATTACTTATGATTTAACTGCTGGAGCTAGATGAATGATGGAGGCAAAAAAACACAATTCAATGTCTTATGACACTAATGTGTCTGGAACAGCAGCAGTTTTACCCTTTGCACCACCAGTGAGACAGAGACCAACAGGCTAGTCTTTCACATAGCACTCTCCAAGAAGGAAGTTTTTCTCTATCTGGGAAGTCTCTTAAAGGGCACTCTGAGACTAATGTAGTGGAAAGCTGACTATAGACAGTAGTCAATATCTGGACATGTATGTGTAATCCATTTCAAAATGTCTTTGGGGTCAGTGTCTCCCATTAACAACAGCATTCCTATGCAGGGCAGTAGAGTAGGGTGAAAGAGTTATGCACAGAAATTCCCAAACACATTGGCAGAAATTCATAATACTTGAGCAGACAGAATCTTGAGCAGTTGTACATAAAAACCAACCAGCATCTCTTTTCAGTTTGTTCAGTTAAGCTTTGGAAATGAAAGGGAAAAGTTGATTGATTGCCAGGGGCAACTGCTCCAGATTCTGTCTGCTCCAGTTTTTATGCCCATTATATCTATGAGCAAGTTAATTGGAAAGAGTGTTTTTCACAAACCAGTCTCTGTGTTATATGGCATTCTCTCCCATAGCACTCCCTCTCTCTCTGAATGGACAGTCTTTACAGAAATAGCTGGGTAACATATAGGGGTCTATTCACTAAGCTGCCGTAAGCAGCCGAGTGAATAACCGGCCCGACGTGAAGTGTTTGGCTATTCACTTCAGGCTTGTACAGCTGATTTCGACTTGCTTCGTGTGGCTTCGGGTCGGCCGAACATGCTCAGCAGAAGGAGTTCGACTTAGCCGATCCAACTGCTGTTCGACCTATTCTCATAGATGTCAAACAGCAGTGAGTGAATAGGCTATTCCCGGCTATTCTGCTCGGTACCCCTGGGGTACCGAGCAGAATAGAAAAATAATTTTAAAAAGTCGAAAACAAAAAGGAAAACGATTGGGGGGAGCTAGCAGTGACAGCTAGATCCGCTGAACTGGTTTCTATTGGCCGGGCAGTTCTGCGACCATCAGAATTCTATGCATTCCTATGCTATTTTTTTTTCTGACTGACTGCGGGCAGCGGCTCCGATGTCAGAAGAAAAAAAAAAGAACAGAGCAGGGAAAGGTTTAATCGAGCAGAGTAAACCTTTCTTGGAGAAAGTGTTTCTCTCCCGGGCGGCCGGGAGCCGCTATCTAATAGCGGGAGACTCCCGGAGCGGCCGGGAGAATAATGACAGATTAGCGTCCCTGATTACCTGGTAACCAGGGGGCGCTGATGTGTCTCTGCAAGTGGCCGGAGCCAGCCGTTAGATTACGGCTGGCTCTGCCCAGCCGTCAGTAGCAGGCTGTCGGCCGGCCAAAGGCCTGCCGTTCGGCCAGCTTCGCCTTTCACCTTGGCTCATATGCCTTCGGCTCAACTGAGCCGCTCTGCCCACTTCAGGAGCTGTAGGGGCTATAGTAAATAGCCCGTACAGAAGCCCTTCGGTTCTACTGACGTTTTTAGTTAGTTCTATTTAGTTCTATTTTAGTTACCTTTAGGCCCCGTGCACATTGAGCGATTTATCACGCGGTAATTCCCGCGATATCGCGGCTATTTACCGCGCGATATCGCTCTTCAATGCTTTGCAATGGGGCAAAGGGTCCTGCTGTCGCCGCTCGTGTGTCGCTACAGCAGGGCCCCTTTTTTGGAGCGGCTTTTGCCGCGATTCTCGCTTGCTCAATGCAAGCATTTGCGCGATATCGCGCAAAATGCAAATCGCGCGTCAAACGCGCGATTTGCGAATCGCGCAGTGTGAATGGGGCCTAAGTCCTTGAATGATTAGCAAACAGTGTGTACAAAGGGATTATTTGTCTTAAGAAATACTAAAACATTATGCTTAGAGTTTTTGAGCTTTTATGTGTTTTAGAAATCAAAGAGACAAACACAGGATTGACAAATTCAGAAAAAAATTGAATGTGTCACTAAAAATAAACAAATGTGCCAGTTGTACATAATCCCTAATTCACCACCGCAGGTCTCTTTTTATTGAACAAGCATTCTATACTTTTGTCCCACAAAAAATCTCAATTGCACTGATTCCGAACTGTTTCATTTTTGAGCAGTGCACATATAATCATGGTCATGTGCACTGCTCCTTTCATACTATCTCCCAATGCAATTCCCAATGCCAGCTTACTGGCATGCTTGCCCAGTAATACACATTTGCAATACTGGCACCTCCTACAAGTAACAGATGTGGAGCAACAGCCAAAAAAGTGATTTGACGATAGTATTGGGAACGTGCTATGGAGGTTGGCTATGCTGCACATGCCTTGAAACCATGTACGGCGAGCGTTGCCACACTGAAAAAGGAAGTGTGAGGCAACACTTTAAATGATTTTTTAATAATGTATACTAAATCATGGGTAATATAAAGGGTGTATATGAGCACTGAAGAAGGTAAAGAACACTATTGTACGGGTTATTCACAAAAGGGTGAAGAGTTTGGAGAAGGCAGGAGAAGTGAACAATCTAGGAAAATATAGCTGATTTGGATAAATTTGCCAATTCAGTTCACTTTCCAGTTCAGCTATGTTGTCCTAGATTGTTCACTTATCCTGTCTTCTCCAAACTCTTCACCCTTTAGTGAATCACCCTCTCTATTTTTTATCTTATTTTGGGTTTAGTGACACGTTGAGTCCTGCCCACCCTGAACTGTCTCATTGTGGCTATATGTAAAGCATGTAATAAATGTCCTCCAGTATAATGTCTCAATACAACATATTGTAGCTTCTCAGCCATGTGTATACAAATGTATCGAGCATGAACAGATTGTGTTTTACTAGCACATCCATTATTTGCCTAAAACAATGTGTTTTTGTGCTGTAGAGTGTGTATAGCATTAACACTATACTCCTATTGTTCCTCTTCCTGTGCAGATTAATCCCGGAAGCAAGGCTGCTCTGGCTAACCTATGCCCAGGAGATGTTATTTTGGAAATCAATGGGGAAAGCACAGAAAACATGACTCATCTCCAGGCACAGAATAAGATTAAGGCCTGTTCCAGCCACCTGATGCTTTCTCTGAACAGGTTTGTATGTCTTTTATTTGTAATGCTTTCTCAAAAGGAAATATGGGTGCCTTTTGTGTCATTAGACAGGTGACCACTAGTAAAACTTGTCTCCCTGAATTATCATTTCTTTATTGAAAAGAGCTTTTCTCTTAAATGCACTGTATACTGGACCTTTTCACCCCTTTATGGTGCCTGAGGCAACTTTAGTTTTGCCGCACCCTGACGATTGCTAAACACGACCCCTCACTTGTGTGCCTTTATCTGTGATTGCAATAGAATTCCACTAAACCTGGGCCTGTTAATGTCTCTGCTTCTGTGTTCTGTAATTTTTTTACAGTAGGTAAAAAAAAATACCCAAAGTGAAAATAAGTCTGTTAATAATAGTTTAGATTGCATAGCCTTTCCTATTCCCTAGTAATTACCTGTTGATCCTGCCAGTTCCCTCAGTTCCGGTGTTGGGCTGACATCACTCTCAGCATTGTCAAGACCTGGAAGCTTCTTCAGCTAATTATTTATGATTGAGCACACTGGATGTTCCCTCTGATGCACATGCCCAGTAAGCCCCAAAGGCGCCCACTCTAGACCAGCCCCTCCACCCTCCTCCTTGCTTTTCTTTAGCACCCTTTTTCAGGAATTACGTCAGGCTTGCTTATAGCCCACTGCCCAGAGGAATGCACAGTCGTCAAAGGTTTGTGGTTGTGTGACCGCCAATAAAAAAATTTAGAAAAGGTATTTATTGAGAAATGTTGTGACTTAAAAAGGTAGTGCCGTGCATACAGTAGTTCTAACTCTCCAACCTTTTACTATTGCTTAAATCATATCTATCAGGGAAGCATTCCTCTGTACATTGTGTCTGACATTTGTGTGGCCAACACTTACCTTTCACTTCTTCACTGCCCCCTGCTTCCAGATCATTCCACTCCGCTTCCGGCTTCATTCCAACATTTTTTTTTATGTGCAACACATATTTTATTTTATTTATGTGCAACACATATCCATTGGAAAGGTGTGTTGTGGTGTCACGCAAGTAACATGTGGTGTGCATGCATTCTCGCAACAGAGAACAGAACAGAGCCTAAAACATTAAATTTTCAATATATGTTAATGTTTAAAATATCTAAAATTTTGTCAATGCACAACGTATGCGACTTTCTCTGTTCATCACTCGACTTCATTTAAATTTTTTTTAAAAACATATGATAGTGAGAAAGTCATGAGACTTTCAGGCATTTCGGAGTTTAACATGTCATAGTATAAAAAACAATCAAGCACTTTCTTTTAAGTGATATAGTACATACTGTTTACATAGATATTTTTGATGGAATTTATACAAGCAATTGTTATAGGTATATAAACTACCCTGAGTGCAAAATTTGGCCATACTGTGGATTTTTATTCTGGCTTGTAAATAAAATTTATTTTGGTACATGTGCATTCTGACATGAGAATGGCATGCAGGATTTCAACAGTTCATACAAAAATGTGTCCACTGTAGTAGCTTCATCTCTCAGAAGTAATCTGGATGGCAATGCACAGAGAAACCCTTTTATGAAATAGAGGAGGTTTCTGTGACAGTTATTGCTCCCCCTTCACCTTTTTAGGCTGCTGAAAGCTCAATTAGGGGAATTTATCAAAACTGGAGCAGACAAAATCTGAAGCAGCTGTGAAGGAAACCAATCAGTTTCTCTGTTTCATTTTTAAATCCTAACTAAGCAAACTGAAGAGAGAAGCTGATTGGTTGCTATGGGCAACTGCTCCAAAATCTGTCCGCTCCAGTTTTGATAAATTTGCATCTATCAGTATTGTAATTCTGGTATAAGAATATTATACATGTGGGCTTGGCTGCCTGCTCTTAAGCAAAGTGAAAAGTATATACTGTGCTACATAGAAAGGGACTGTGGACCTATATGCAGTAGAGATGGACTTTAGGCCTTTTCAGGAGGTGCAGAAAGGATTTTTAAGGTATAGCATCGAGGTTCAGTTACGTAACTATTATTATTTAAGCTCCTGTGTAAAATATCTGTAGGGTCCTACAACCTTTATCTTCTAGAAGGCAGTCACACTACAGAATACAAATCATTTTAAAATCATTCTGGCTCCTTTTGGATTATACACAATACTTTATAGGTGACACCACTTAATACGTTGCAGTGACTTTAATTCAGTGTGTCCCCCCCCTGCCGATCATCAGAGGTTATGTAATCCAAGAGGGTGCTCTCATTCTGAAGGATGTGATCCTGGATCCTGCTTCCTGGTTTTGGAGACTGAACACCTTGACAACCAAGAAAAGGAGCTTTTTGCTCTTAAAATAAAAAAAACACCAGACATCTAAAGGGGTGGGGGGTGACCAATCTATAAAAAAGAATAGCCAGAGCCAGATTTTAAGTCAACTCCTTAACATCCCTCTTTAAAAGGCCTATATTCACCTTTGCTTGCTCCTGTTAGATCCCTACCGTGTAGCAAGTTGGGAGCTGAAATTAAATTAGTTTATTAAAGAATTGCAACATTAGTAAATTACATTCTAAAATGTTCTTACACTAAAATATTCTGGAACTTTTTTTCGGTCCTGTCAATTTATTTTGTTGATACTTTTACAACTTCACATCGGAATGGACTGTGGGAAATAACATTTCATGCAAAAATGATTCCAAATACAACAGTACAGTTGTGTGGTTGAGGTGGTGAATATGACCCAGCCTGCAGTCCTCTGCTGCTTTGACAAAGATTGAATCAACTGTTACAGGATCTATGTAAATATAGCTGATTTATTTTGTTAGTAGGCAGTTAACAGATGCTTCTCAATTCATTAATTTATTTATTATAGATATTTATATAGTGCTGACAATTTACACACTGCACATTCACATCAGTCATGGTTGTCAAGGAGCTTACAATCCTAAGGTTCCTTTCTCATATGTACACATACTCGGGCCAATTTAGGCAGGAGCTAGGTAACCTATCAGCATGTCTGTGGAGTGTGGGAAGAAACCGAAACACCTGAAGGAAACGCACGCAATTATAGGAAGAACTTGCAAACTCCATGCAGATTGTGTCCTGATTGGGAATCCAACCGAGGACCTCAGTGCTGTAAGGCAGAAGTGCTAACCCTCGGAAGCTAGCTTTAATTCTCCTCCATGTTTGGAGAGGAAGGGACTTGAAGTTACAAAATATTTACAATATGGAGAAAGAATAAAAATGCACAGGTCTTCCTGTGGTTATATTAAAACAAAACTATTTCTGTGATGCAACAGTGAAGGGACCGGCTCTCCCTCTTACTTCAGGCCAGGCACTTCTGATTTCCTCAAATACTGGAAACTGTATATATTTTCTATTGATTCACCTCCATCACTGAGATGTCGCTGGGACACTTATCTCTCAGAACTGACATGGATACAGAGCAGGACACTACTGGTGGCTCACTGAGTACCATCAAAGCCATTCTCTCATACACAGACCTTCCCAGGCTCTACTGTTGCTTGGTGTTGCTAGATTGCCAGCCCAATTTTTTTAAGGCTGCCGAGTGCAGTCAAATTACCTTCACTGAACTACTATGTCCATTGTATAAATAGTAGGGATGCACCAATATATCTTATGCCAAAACATAGCGGCCGAAAATGGCACTTTTGGCATAATGCCGAAAGTGCCATTTTCTGGCCGATACAGCGTGCATCTATTCTTTCTCTCCTCCCCACTGGGCACAGCTCTCTGTCCCAGTGGGGAGAGGAGAAATTGTCACAGGCGGGCGAGTGCTGCGGGAGGAGAGCGAAGTGAGCGGCCAGCATCTCCCCGCACCGCTTAGCATCCTGTCACGGATCAGAGGAAATCAGTTTGGGTGGAGACAGCTTTCAGTGCTGTCACAGGAGGCTGAGCTCCGCTCGCTCAGCCTCCTGTGACAGCTGTCAGGATGGAGAGCGAATGCAAACACTCAGTGATCAGTGATCGCTGAGTGTTTGTAAATAATTGTGGACACAGCATGTTGACTATATCCTCAATTATGAATGAATGGGAAGTGATCTACATCACCTCCTGTTCATTCATAATTGTGGTTATAGTAAGCATACTATGTTCTCATGTTATAATTGAACAGGAACACTCAGCATAGAGGATTCCTGTTCACGTATAACCGAGGCTGCAGAAAAAGAGATGGAGGACCGTAGCAGATTACCCCCTTAACAGGATCCCTCTAGTTAGTGCCATATAAATCATATGGATTGTGCAGCTGATGAGACTGTACCTGTACTAGATATCTGCGATTTGTTTTGTTCCGAATTGAAATTCTTACGAATTTCTGCATATTCGGACATTCGGATGCATCTGAATTTCTGAAGTAAAGAAATAACAAATCTGAACATATCTGAATTTTTGATAACGAAAATTCGGATGCATTGGAAATTTTGTTAAAGGTTAACAAACAACCCAGTGTCAGTGTACATTCTCGGTATGCTGTGCTAGGATAGTTGAACCCCCATGTTACATAATCCCAGCCTGGGTGCTTAAAATGGCCAGACACACTGAACCCGTAAAATGATGAAGAGGTCTGCGCTGCCAAAAGAGGTTGCAAATGTTGCATCGCTACAGGGCAGATGAGTATGAATAGTTTAGCTTTGATTTATGATTATGAATTCTTTAACACTCTCATGTGACAGTTGTTTAGTTAGGTAACAACTTCCTAGTGATTTTATTCTCTTAATATGTACATTTGCAAATTGGTGAGACCCAAGGGGAAACCCAGAGTTTTTCCTACCTTCACATCTCCATATCTATTACAGTCAAAAGGTGTTAATTTACTAAAAGGAGTAGAAGGTGCTGTAATATGCATATAACAACTTCAACCCTAACCGGAGATGAGAGAAAAGACCGCACACCGATATCCACCATCCACAAACGTTATTTCATGATTCCATGATCATGTATTCCATGATTGATGATCTCTATAATTAGGGCAGTAAGGGTGAAGCACATCAGAGATGGGCAGTGACTGAGCAGGGAATTCCATCACATTGGAAGCTGTAATTATC